TGTAAATTGTGCTGCTATGAACATGGGGGTACATATATCCTTTCTGATTGGCGTTTCTGTTTTCTTGGGATATATTCTTAGAAGTGGTATTACTGGATCAAATGGCAGTTCCATTTTAAAATTTTTTTTGAGGTAATGCCATACTGTTTTCCACAATGGCTGCACCAGTCTACATTCCCACCCACAGTGAAGAAGGGTTTCTTTTTCTCTGCATCCACTCCAGTACTTATCCTTTGTTGATTTGTTGATATTATATAACCATTCTGACAGGTGTGAGGTGGTACCCCATTGTTGTTGTGATTTGCATCTCTCATATGATTAGTGACTTTGAGCATGTTTTTATGTGTCTCTTGGCTTCCTGAATGTCCTTTTTTGAAAAGTGCCAGGCAGTGAAAGAAAAATACCACATGACCTCACTCATTTAAGGAAATAAAGAACATTATAACCGGATGAGCAAAAAGATAGATACAGAGGCAGAGAAGCATGAAACTGACTGTCAAATTACAGCAGGAAGGCTGAGGAGTGTTGAGGGGCTGGGGTAAGAGATCAACTGAAGGATTTGTATGCATTCATATAAGCATAACCAATGGAAACAAGATGCTGGGTGCAGGGTGAGGGCATGTGCCAAGGTGTAAAGGACACCAGGGGAAGGTCAACTGGGGGAGGCGGAAGGGAGGGGAGAGACACATGTACTACTATTTGCAATACTTTAAACAATAAAAAACAAAACACCCAATCATATGCTGACACATCTAATCTGCAAAGACAAAGTTATATTCAATGTGAAAAACTGACCAGACCAGGGCTTTTGTTTGCTGGAAGATTTTTGATCTGTTTCAATTTCTTTGGTAGTTATTGGCCTATTCAGGTTTTTTGTTGTTGTTGTTGTTTTCATTCTTCTTGGTTGAGTTTTGGGAGCTTGTATATTTCTAGGAATATGTCCATTTCACCTAGGTTGTCCATTTGTTGAAATAGAGTTGTTTATAGTATTTTTTCATAATCATTTGTATTGGTTGTTATTTAACCTCTTTCATTTCTGATTTTGATTATTTGGGTCCCCTATCTTTGCTTCATGGTGTGCCTGGCTAGAGGTTTATCAATTTTGATTATGCTTTCAAAGAACCAGCTCTCGGTTTTGTTGATCTTATGTATTTTTTTTAATTTTTTTTCTTCTTTTTTTTCTCTATTTCATTCATCTCTGCTCTGATCTTTATTATTTCCTTCCTTCTGCTTATGCTCGACTTTTCTTGCTCTCTTTCTAATTCTTTGAGTTGTAGGGTTAGGTAATTTATTACCATTGTTTCTTGTTTTTTTGCAGTATGCTTGTAAAGCTATGAACTTCCCTCTTAAGACTGCTTTCATTGTGTCTAGATTTTGGATTGTTGTGTTTTCATTGTAATTTGTTGCCATGATGTTTTCTTTATTTATTCTTTGATCTCTCTGGTAACCCAGCCATTGTTTAATCTCCAGGTGTTTGATTTCTTTTGATTGTTTTTATTGTAGTTGATTTGTAGTTTTATGCCATTTAATCTGAAAAGATGCTTGATATGATTTCCATCTTTTTGAATTTTAAGAGACTTTGCCTGTGACCTAATATATGGTCTAGTATTTTCCGGCATATAAAACGATCTTTGAAACAAAAAAAAAGTCAACCGAAAATCGGGGGCAAAAGACCAAAATTGCACAAAAATTACCTGCAGATCTTGATGGCAAAATAAGTCTTTTCTTTGAAGTGGGGGGTAGTCTTATACAGCGAATATAGGCCTAAACCTATGTTTTAACTGTAAAATTAGGGGGTCGTCTTATACGCTGGAAAAATACAGTACCTTTGAAAATGGCCCATGTGCACTTGAAAAGAATGTATACTCCTTGGCCTTAGGTTGAAATGTTCTGAAGATGTCAATTAATTCTATCTGATCTAATGAGTCATTTAGATTTGATGTTTCTTTGCTGATTTTTTGTTTAGAGGATTTATCCAATGATGATTTGGGGTATTAAAGTCCCCCACTATGACTGTATTGCTGAAATCTCTCCCTTGATATCCTCCAGAAGTTTTTTTTTTGTTTGTTTGTTTGTTTGGTATTTGGGTGTTCCTTTATTTGGTGTGTATATGTTTTCCAGTGTTATTTTTTCTTGTTTGATTTTTCTGTTTAGTATTATGAAGTGGCCTTCCTTATCTCTTATTATGTTCTTTACTGTGAGATCTAATTTGTCAGATACAAATATTTCTATGCCAGCTTCTTTTTCATTTCCATTTGCCTGAAAAACCTTTTATCATCACTTCACTATCAGACTGTATGAGTCCTTTTTTCTGAGTTGGGTTTCCTGGAGACAGAATATATATGAGTCATGTTTTCTTATCCACCCAGTTACACTATGTCTTTTAATTGGGCCATTTAATTCACTTACATTTAAAGTTATTATTGATAGGTATTTAGGTGTCACCATTTTTATGCCTGTTTTTGTTCCTTCTTCACTTCTTATTTCTTCTTTTTACAGAAGATCCTTTAGCATTTCTTGTATTGCTTGTTTGGTGGTAATAAACTCCCTTAATCCTTTTTGATCTGTGAAGCTCCTGATTTTACCCTCAAGTTTGATTGATAGCCTTGCTGGATACAGTATTCTTGAATTAAATCCCATCCTTTGCATTACTTTGGATATTTCATTCCATTCCTTATGATGTGTTTCTGTTCAGAAATTAGTTGCTAGTCCGATAGGTGAATCCTTTGTAGGTAACTCTTACTTTGTTGTTGGTATTTGCCTCTTTAATTATAATGTACCTTGGTGTCGGTCTTTCAGGGTTCATTTTATTTGGAACCCTGTGATCTTCTTGGATTTGTGTGAGTTTTTTCTTCCCTATATCAGGGAGTTTTTCTGTCATTACTTCTTCAAACAGGTATTCTATTCATTGCTCAATTTCCTCTCCTTCTGGAACCTTTATTATGTGGATGTAGATTCATTTCATGTTGTCCCAAAGTTCCCTTAGGCTCCACTCCTATTAAAAATTTTTTTTTTTTTACTAGATGCTTCTCTGCTTGTTTTTGTTTTTCTATCTTGTTTTCTAGTTCACTGATGTAATCCTCTGTTCTTCTAGTGTACTGTTGATGCTTTCTATTGAGTTCTTTATAGTAGTGATGTCATTTTTCTTTTTTTCTTGGTTCTTCATTTCCTCTTGGTTCTTACACATATTGTTGAATTTGTCTTCCATTCTTTTCAGCAACCATATGACCATTTTTCTGAATTATTTCTCTGCCATATTGCATGTCTCCATTTCATTTACTTCCTTTCCTGGTGATGCCTGTTTCTCTTTCATATGCAGGCTGTTTCTTTGTCTCCCCATGATCTCTCTTCTCCAGTTATCTGGTTATGTATTTTTCTCTTTCTTGCATTGCTTTAAAGGCACAAATGCAACACAACAAGGTAAAACACACAAGGCACTGAACACAAATGTATTCATGATACTAATATCCCCAAACAAAGTGACCACTAGAGAAAAAAGTAAGAGAAAAAAGAATTAAAAAAAAAGGGGGGGGGGTACTATTTATATGGGGAGAAAACTCCAATAGAACAATCATTAATCCTCCAAAATGCAAACAACAAACACTGAGAGATGAATGCAATTTACAGGAAACAATTAATAACAAACAAGGAGAAGGAAAACAGAAGCAAAATCCAACCAAAACCAAAACCAAAAAAGTGTAACAATCTCACCAATAAATACAACAATAATCAATCTAGTCAACTATCAAGCAAACAACAATAAGATAGAGAGAAAATAAGATAAAGCAAAACAAAGTAAAAACAAAACAAAACACCTAGAACAAAAAAACCAAGACAAAACAAAAAACCAAAAAAAAAAAAACCCCTCAAAAAACGCAATAACAACAAAAACCAGAAAATTAAAATAAAAGGGGGGGGGGCAGAGAGAAAAACAAATTGGATAGTGAATAAAGAGGAGAGAGAGGCATATATGGATTTAAAGCAGAGGATCAGGAATTAGATATATAAATACAATGAATTTTTAACAGGAAGTCAAAAGAAGGAATAGGGAAAATCTAAAGCAAGAATAGGCTAAGAAAAACAGGACAACAAAAGGGGAAAAGTGTGGAAGAAAGTGTTGGCATAAAAGTAAAGTTGAGATAGAGTAAAACGATGCTAAAGGAAAAATTAAAATAAAATGTAGAACACTATCCTATCTAATAAAAGAGTGATATGCAAATTGACCATCACTCCAACACACAAGATGGCTACCCCCATGTGGTCAAAGATGTAGACACAAGATGGTTGCCACAAGATGGCCAGCAAGAGAGGGCAATTGGGAGGGATCAGGCCTGCAAGGGAGGGCAGTTGTGGGCAATCAGGCCAGCAGGGGAGGGCAATTAGGGGTGACCAGGCTGGTGGAGAAGGGAATTCGGGGGCAACTGGGCTTGCAGGGAAGGGCAGTTGGAGGGGACCCAGGCCTGCAGGGGAGAGCAGTTGGGAGAGACCAGTTCTGCAGGGAAGGGCAGTTAAGGGAGACAAGGCCTGCAGGGGAGGGCTGTTATGGGCAAACAGGTTGGCAGGGCGCAGTTAGGCATCAATATGACTGGCAGGGGCATAGTTGGGGGTGATCAGGCTGGCAGGCAGAAGTGGTTAGTGGCAATCAGGAAGGCAGGCAGGTAAGCAGTTGGGAGCCAGCAGTCCTGGATTGTGAGAGGGATGTCTGATTGACCATTTAGGCCCGATCTTACTGGGATCAGCCTAACTGGGCAGTTGGACATCCCTCAAAGTGGTCCAATATTGGAGAGGGTGCAGGCTGGGCTGAGGGACACACCCTCCTGTGCACGAATTTCATGCACCATGCTCCTAGTCCCAAAATAAAATAAAATAAAATAAAATAAAATAAAATAAAGAAAATAAAATAACACTTAAAAAAGGTAAATTAGTAGTGGTAGTAATACTGATTAAAAATAAAAGTATAATAATTATAAAGGTATAATAGGCGCGGCTGGTGAGGAGGCGAGGGGGCAGGGAAGGGGCCTGTGCGGCCTCTTTGCCTCTTTGTGCTGCGGGACAGTGTGCAGGCCGCCGGCACCATGAAGATTTGGACGTTGGAGCATGTATTTGACCACCCTTGGGAAACTGTTACAACAGCCGCAATGCAAAAATATCCAAACCCTATGAAATCAAGTGTGGTTGGAGTCGATGTATTGGAAAGATATGTAGATCCTTCTGGAAAGTTGCACAGCCATAGACTGCTCAGCACAGAGTGGGGACTGCCTTCTCTGATTGGTGCGGCAAGAACCAAAACATATGTGCAAGAACATTCTGTAGTTGATCCTGTAGAGAAAACAATGGAACTTAAGTCCACTAATATTTCATTTACAAATATGGTTTCAGTAGATGAGAGACTTATATATAAACCACATCCTCAGGACCCAGAAAGAACTGTTTTGACTCAAGAGGCCATCATCACGGTCAAAGGAGTCAGTCTCAGTAGTTACCTGGAAGGGCTGATGGTGAGAACGATATCTTTAAATGCTAGTAAAGGTCGAGAAGCAATGGAATGGGTAATACATAAATTAAATGCTGAGATTGAAGAATTGACGGCTTCAGCAAAAGGAAGCATAGGACGCCAATGACAGCAGCAGCATTTGTAGAGAAATGATGAAAATTGCTATACAGCACCCGGTCCCCTAGATCTCTACTAACTGGCATTATATTTATTGTTATTTAAAAAATACATAAAAAAACTATATTTTAGTTAAACATTTTTTAATAAGCCAAAGAAAGGGTATGTGACTTGATCAAAACAAGGAGGCACAATGTTTCTAAACAAAAGGGAGCATCTGAAATTATTAGTGTTATTTGAAGTGACTCTGGTTTTGATGATTCCATAGTTATGTGAGAATTTAACAAATTTTGAAAGGTACTTAGAAATTGGTGTTAGCATAGTTAGTCTCCTTCAGGTTGAATTTTAAAGCTTTTCATGCATTGGAACTCTACCTGGCTTTGGACCAACCCCAGGACAAAGCAGAGCCATCTCTGAATAGACACAATTGCTCTGCTGTAGGAAACTTCAAGAGGGATCTTACTTTCAAAGGAGAAATTGTATAGTTTTAAAAGATATAAATTTGTATAAAATATCGTGCTCTGCTTGCTATAAGCCACCATTACCCATTGTTTTAATTTGGTACTTAAATGACATTTTTGGAGTTAAAATTATCACTAAAGTAATTGCATCTTTATTCTGTGAAAGAATACTGTATTGACTTGCCAAAGTTTTGTAACTTAGTGAAGATAATTACCTTCTGTGGATTTGTACTTTATGACCTAAAGTATTGTGGGCTGGTTATGTTAACTGAAAAAATAAAGTCATTATTGAAATTTTTCAGCACTCTAAGCTTAAACAGAAGAGAACTGTTCAACTCCTTCAGGATTTCACATTTGCCTAACTTGTAAAATTGCCATGTGTCAGAATCATGGTTCTATAATTGCGAAGACATGATCTGCCAGGTTATTTGGATAAAATTACTTCTTTTAAGTAATTGTGATCACAGAATATCTTTTTACATGAGGAGCTGTACATCATTTGAAATTGCCCAAATGATGTCTTGATCTGGGGTACAAATCCCAGGTACCTATTGTTTTTAATAATAAGGTGCCACTGACAGGATGAGGCGGGGAGCAGGCATTGGCCTAAAATAACCATTACATGAATTGCTTTGTAACTTTTATTTATGGGGAATCCTCATTTTGGGAGCCACAGGGCCACTGGACTCAGAAAACAATCCAGAAATGTATTTTGTTTCATATTTTGTAGCAGTTAATTATCAACCATAAAAAATATCTTTGATACTTGCAAAAAAATAAAAAAAAAAATAAAAAGGTATAATAAAGTGAGGAAAAAATAAGAAAATTAGTTTCTTAAGTAAAAGATTAAAAAAAACCAAAACACCAGAAATGTGCAATAGTGAGATCATTTACTTCTGCTACTGTTCTGTTTGGTACACCTGCTTCTTGTCCAGTATTGAATTTCCTTGAATTCCTCTGCTCCTCTGTGTTTTCAGGTGTATGGACTGCCTTGGAGCTGGTTTTCTGATCATTTCTCCCAGCTCTGATCCCAAAGGTTCCAGAAAAATAACTTTGCCCTGCAGTCTCTGAGAGTGTCCCCAGTTAGGCAATCCTATACTGAGCTTAGCAATCAAAATCAAGGATTTCAAGAGGGGGAAAAAGAACCTAAGTGGGTAAATGCGTGACTTTTACTCTCTGGCACTAAGCACAAGTCTGTGCAGTCTTTTTTCCCCTGGCTCTAAGCAACAGCACACTGTTAAAATTTTTAGGCTGCATTTTGCACTCATTTCATCTATGGATTGCTTTTTAGAGTTCCCTTCTTTTAGCAGCCCCTCGGAACCTCTTCCATAGTCACAGTTCATGCTAGCCCCAAGGGCCATGAGTTTTGTGGTGCACAGACTTCCCTGGAACCTCTAGTTCCTGCTATGCAAGTTTCTCCTGCTGGATCACAGACCTCACTTTTTCCTAGGCAAAATCTGACCTTTCCTTGAGAAAGTGCAGAGCTTCTCTGAGTCAACATATTTGTGCTGCTTGAGGTCCAGTGTTCCTGGGTTTGCAGCTGTTCCCTGAGTATTGTTGTAGATTCCCAGGATTTTTAGGCTTCTCATAACAGCCACTCTCTCTTTTAAGATGGCGCAGTCTCTGTGCCAGAGCCAATTGCTCAAGGAGAGATTTCAGCAGCAGTGGAGGCTGCCTGGCCAGAGGAACCTTGTCTGGCAATCTTCAACAGTCTCTTGGAATATAGCTATTTCTCAACTTACAAATATACACTCTGTGTGTGACCACACATTCTCCTTTCATTCTGTCACTCACGTACTATCTTGCAGTCTGCCTTCCCATCGGCAGCCATCTTCCATCTTTCCTGGGTTTTGTTTTTTATCCACTCTGCTACTATGTGCCTCTTCATTGGTGAATTCAGACCATTTTCAATTAGGGTAATTATTGATGTATAAGGATTTTCTGTTGCCATTTTCTCTTTTGTTTTCTGGAAGGCCTGTGCCTCCATTGGTTCTTTTTCTTCAAGCTTCTGTCTACTGTGTTCCATAAATCTTTCTTCTGTTTCCTCTTTCTTTAAGCTATATGTCCCAGTTTAAAGAGTTTTATGTTTAGTTACCGTTAAGTTTATAAAAAATGAAGTTGCAAATATACCGTAGTTGTTTTTTTTCTTTTTTTTTCTTTTGAATGCATCTCATCTTCATCTTCCTTTGCCAGTTTAGACCTTTCCCCCTCCCCCCTTGAATGGTTTTGTTGTCAAACACTAACCCCGTTTATGTTGTACGTTTTTTTGGTGATCTTACAGGGTTGTGATCTTATTATCTATATTTGTTTCAGGTGAAATAACTCCCTTAAGTATTTTCTTTCTTTTTTAAAATAAATCTTTATTGTTCATATTATTACAAATGTTCCTCATTTCCCCCCCACCTCGATTGCTCCCCTCCACCAGGTTCCCACCCCACTCTCTGCACTTTCCTCACCCCCAATTGTCCTCATCCATAGGTGCACAGTTTATGTTCAGTCTCTTCCCACACCCCCCTCTTCCCTTTTCCCTGAGAATCGTCCGTTCACTCCCCTTCCATACCTCTGATTCTATTATATTCAACAGTTAATATTGTTCATCAGATTCTTTCTTTAATTCCCTTGGTTTTTAGATTCACTTGTTGATAGTTACATATTAGTTGTTCATAATTTTTATCTTTATTTTCTTTCTCTTCCGAAAGAACCCCCCTCAGCAATTCATATAATCCTGCTTTGGTGGTGATGAACTCCTTTAGCTTTTTTTTTTTTATTAGTGAAGCTCTTTATCTGGCCTTCGATTCTGAGTGATAGTTTTACTGGGTAGAGTATTTTTGGCTGTAGGTTCTTGCTATTCATCAACTTGAATATTTATTGCTATTCCCGTCTGGCCTGCATGGTTTCTGTTGAGAAATCAGCTGACAATCATATGGGTGCTCCTTTACAGGTAACTACCTGCTTTGCTCTTGCTGCTTTTAATATTCTCTCTTTGTCTTTTGCTCTTGGAATTTTAATTATGATGTGCCTTGGTGTGGTCTTCTTTGGTTTCCTTTTGTTTGGGGTTCTGTGTGCTTCCTGGACTTGTAAGTCTAATTCTTTCACCAGGTGGGGGAAGTTTTCCGTCACTATTTCTTTCGGTATGTTTTCAATATCTTGCTCTCTCTCTTCTTCTGGGACTCCCATAATTCTGATGTTGGTTTGCTTGAAGTTGTCCCAGAGGTTTCTTACATTATCTTCAACTTTCTGGATTCTCTTGTCTTCTTGCTTCTGTGGAGGAGTGTCTTCTGGCTCTTTATGTTCCAAATCTTTGACTTGATTCTTGCAATCTTCCATTCTGTTTTTAGGACTCTGTATAATATTTTTTATTTCAGACAATATATTCTTTATTTCTTGTTGATCCCTTATTATTTCTAATTGATCCCTTTTCCTATCCTCATAGGTCTCATTTATTTTATTGGCCTTTTCTAGGACATTCTTGAAAAACCTTATAAGTGTGGTTTTGAACTCTATATCCAGTCTCTTTTTGTCCTCCATTTCTTTTGTTTGTGATCTGTTTCCTTGTCTCGGCATTTTCGCAGTTTCCCTGAGTTGGTAGCCTTAAAAGTCTCTGTGTTCAGCTTGGATGGGGCAGAGTTTCAGGGTGGAGCCTACAGCCTTGGCTTTGGTCAGCCTTGCCCTATGCGGCTCTTGAGTCTCAGTAATCCCCAGGGTCCTTCAGTACTCGCTGCAAGCACCTCTGAGAGAAAGGTGCCCTCAATTTTCGCCTGCTACCAAACAGTCTAGGCTCTCCTCCAATGAGTTCGGAACTGGGTCAGTTCAGTTGGAAGTGGAGTTGGAGGTGGTGTTCAGTGCAGTCTGGAGCTTTTGTCTCCTTCCGGCTAGGGCAATCAGCAGCACAGTCAACCATCCATTCTCTGCGCACAATCTGTGCACCTCTGGGACTTCCTTTCGCCGTTCCCCTGGGTTTCCACCTTACAGCCCAGGCTCCCTCTATGAGCCTGGGTCCCCAGGGTCTGGCCTAGAACTGGGGTTCAGTGCAGTTGGAACTGGGGCTCAGCACAGTCCGGAGCTTTTATCTCCTTCCCACTAGGGAACACCAGCCAGGCACTCAGCCTCCCTCCTCTCCTGCTCAGTCCTCTCCGCACATGCAGCGTGTCTCTGTACCTTAGGCTTTTACAGCTCCTCTGCTTTTCCTTCTGGTTTTCTCTTTCTTTCTCATTGTAGAATTTCCAGTCAGTTGACTTTCCTGTAGTTCTGGGTAATGTCCATTTTGTATTTTAGTTGTATTTTATTGAAATTGTTGTGTGCGGCTGCGGTTAGGTGTTTACCTGTGCAGCCATCTTGGATTCTCTCCCTTAAGTGTTTTCTGCAATGAGATTTTCTGGTGATAAAGTTTTTCTGTTTCTGTATGTTTAGGAATGTCTTTATTTCTCCTTCAATTTAAATGATTATTTTGCAAGCTATATTATTCATGGCTGGTAATTTCTCTTTTTCAGGCATTTTAATACTTGGTTCCACTTTCTTCTGGCTTGTAGAGTTTCTGCTGAGAAGTCAGATGAAATTCTGATGGTGTTTTCTTTGTAGGTCACTTCCTTCTTTTCCCTGGCTGCTTTAATATTTTTTTCTTTGTCATTAATTTTTGATAGCTTGAATACCAAGTGTCTTGGAGAGGGCCTCTTTGGATTGAGGTAACTAGGTGTTCTGTTTGATTCTTGGATTCAATTAGCTAGTTCTTTCAATAGATTTGAGAAATTCTCATCAACTATTTGTTTTAATAAACTCTTCATTCCATGCTCCCTCTCTTCCTCCTCTACAATGCCTAAGATTACTTTTTCTGTGGGAGTTAGATAGGTCTTGTAGAGCTCTTCCATTTTTCTTTATTATCAGGTCACTCTCTATTCCCTCTGCATCATTTATAGATTCCTAATTTTGATATCTTTTCACTATCTGGTTGGTTCTGTTTTCTATGGTCAGTAGTTCACTCTTTATCTCCTTAATTATATGCTTCATTTTCAGTATTTCTGATTGGTTCTTTTTTAAAGTTTCAACTTCCTTAGTAAAATACTTATTTTTTTCATTGATATGTTTTCTGAGCACATTGGCATTAGCTATCCCTCAACAGCATTATTTTTTTTTTTTATTTCTGAGCACATGAGCACATGGCCTATTAGCATTTTCTCACATATTGCTGAGTATTTTCAGAACTGCAATCTTGAAATCTCTGTCATTTGCATTACATATTTCCATATGTTCCTGCCCACTTCTGGGGATTTTTCATTTTCTTTCTGGTCATCGTTGTT